ATATATATCAGTCAGTTGTATGAGATAAAATGCCTGGGAGTTTAAACTGCACGATATCCTTTGTCTCTGTGGTCTAATGCCTTGACAGCGAGAGGTTGCAGGTTCGAGTCTCATCAGAGACACCTTTTTTCATACAACTGACGAAAAAGGAACTTGAACTCGTTGATGAGCTATGCTTGATACGAATTATTACAACATGTTCCTATTTGAGCACTCTTATTATTTTTCATTTATTTGTTTTATATATAAATAAATAAATATATATATATATAATATATATATAGGCCTAATATAATTTAAAGGCATATGGGACATATTTGTATGATATATAATTTTTAAAATAATAAGTATTTTAAATCAAACTGATAAATATTAGTTTGCTTTTTTACTTTAAAAATACAAATGGGCCTATTAAGAAAGGTGTTGTCTTGATACAGTAGGGGTTTACATGTTTATACAGTATAACCATATAACTAATTCCTTCATGGTATAACATTGCAAAATCTGAACACCACAGTAGATAAAATTGTATCCTCTCGCTATAACAAAATAAGAATAATACTCGTGACTAATGATGTATTAACTCGTGATAAATACAGCTAAAGGAAGTAGAGTTCAGCGTAACAATGACACTCAACGTAGGCTTGACGTTTCAAAGTGCGACCTTGGTTCGGCGATTAAGTGTAGTGTGCGTTGGTCGACCCGGATATATTTTATACAGAATTACTATTATTCTGACGTTGTCAGCGAATTACCATGGTTAAACAAAAAAACGTTCGGTCAACGTTGTTGTTTTGAATGAATCATCGACAACGACCACCGTATATAATCAGCTTCGGATAGGTCTCCATCATCAGTTTGAGCTGTGACTTACGACCAGTACATTCAAGAGCGAAAAGCTTGTTTTCAACTTACCGTGTAGAACTTTTAAAGTCTTACATTAATTTATTAACATGTACAGCTTACGATCAAAGGCATCAGACATGACTCAAACCGAACAGCCTGAAGCAGGAGATGTAGAAATAGTCCAAACACAGGGAAAAGACCAAGGTGCCTCAACCAGTGAAGCTACCACCACTGAAGATAGACCGTCTATCGGTGCTGGAGATAAAACAACCGCTGGTAGCAACGTCGAGAGTCAAGTTGGCAACGAAGAAGAAACCGATCCACAAGAAACCGTAAATAAAAGGAAGAAAGGAAAACAGACAAATCAAGGGATTCGTAGTGAAGTAAGATTTGCTCGTCATGCTTTCCCAGTGAGAGGTAGAGGTTTCGCATGTAGAGGAACTGGTTTCCTAGGATACGGTGGGCGTGGAGTTGGTCGACGAGGTAGAGGTGGACGAGGATTGCATACCCGTGGATTTGGTCTTCGTGGGATGTTTGGCTTAGGACGTCGTGGCCGAGTATTCTATGGTGGCCGAGGATTTGGTGGACGAGGATTCGGTGGACGAGGTTTTGATGGTAGACCTGGTGAGGAGAGTGATATTGATAACGAAGAAACATGGGCCGATCCAAGAATGGCATTTAAAGAATGGGGAGAAGATGCTCAGACAGGAGATCAACCTGGTGTATCATCTATGGAAAATGACGGAGAACAGTGTACAGATGACGAAGCGGATGACCACACTGGTGGTGATGAAGAAGATGATGCACCTCCATGTACCTGTAGGGGAGACATGTTTGAAGCAAGAGGAGGGCGGGGAAGAGGTGGATGGGGAAGGGGCGGAAGTGGTCGGGGCTTCGGTCAAGATCCTAGAGGCATGACGTTCCCATGTCGAGGAAGTTGCCAAAGATCTAATCGCCCTCCTATGGGTTTCATGCCAGATCCTAGAATGGGTGGCTTTACTCGTCCTCCGATGTTTTCTCGTCGTGGCATGCGTCCACCATTCCCACCACATGGAAACTTTGGGGGATGTGGGTTCGGAGGGCCTAGGCTACCATTTCGACCAATGTTTGTGCGATAACTTTTTAACCGAAGTAAAATAGCAAACTTTTCCTAACTTATTGACAGACATAAATTGTTTAATTTTAATACAACTTGACCATGTAAAAGCAACTCGTTTCAATCTTAAATGAAATTTGTTTTCTATATTTTTAATAAGCATTGGACGTTGATGGCATGTTTGTCGAACTAATATAAGTAGGCCTATTTAAAAAATGAAAACCAAATATTGTAACGGGACCGTCTATCTGCCCTTCTAAAATCTGAATTTGAAATTTCATGATTAACGAATTGGAATTTCTGACTTAAAAAGAAAGATATTTATTGATGTGGAACCTACATTAACTCAGAACTACTAATTACATTGGGATATGCTAGGCCAAGTACTAATTTACGTAATGAATTAAGGCCTACATTGAAATTCTCTATAATTTTGAATTAATCTAAATGTGATATACATGGCTGATATATTGCCAGATAAGCATAACTGTACTATTTTAAGACGTTTCGAATGCCAATATCCTCACAAGTAGGCGTAAAATGAGGAATTAAGCCAATGTGCGTTTGTAAAAAGCTCAAATTCATTCAAATTTGTAAATAAAAACTGTAAATATTAACAGAATTTTGACTTTTGTTTTCAATTCAAATCTTGCTTTTAACATTGGCCTTTTAATGATGATGACAACGGCCTGATTGATATGGCGAATGTGAGATAGTTTCAAAGAGATTAATGATAATATTTTGGTATCAAAATTTATATTTTTATGAATTCTTGAACATTTCCGACAATTGTAGTATTCTAAATTTGCTCGAGCTATGAT